CATTTCTCCCTCTACCGACTCAGTAAATGGATCTCAGCAGCAAGAAAATCAGAACGGCGTTCTAAGACTGTTCTTGTCATTAATATATGACAACCTCACTGTACTGCAGGCGGCACAACAAAAACCAACTGTGTAACACTGTTAGAAGAGTCATTATGAAAAAAAGCAACCAAGATATCATCTGCTGTGAATAATTGTGCAGAAGCTATGCAACGCTGACGATGATTGCCTCAACTTGGATGAGAAAAACAATGGAGAGCTTGTTTGGACTGAACCATTTCGGGGAACCTAATGCTTTTATTTGGACCGTATATAACTATTTCAAGACCTTGTATAAATCGCATTATTTCAGCTAAAACAGATCTGGAGTAGTTCCGAATGCCTCAGTTTCATTCCACTGGTAAAAAACGTGGCAGGGCGGATTTAAAACCAGGCCACCGAGGTTGGCACTTATGAAACAGGCCATTAGTCTGCTATAATTGTCAGCAATATTGTCACGCATTTGTCCTCAGCATTCGCACGAGCCATAAATTTGGCTGTCACATCAATCAGAGCCCGGAATTAATTGCGCAATTAAGATTCTCATTGCTTGGCAGATATAGCTACTAATGGATCAGTGACAAGTGTGATATGATCATAAAGAGGGTTTTTAATGTACTGTTTGATTGCTCTTATGTAGTCTGCAGTGTTACAACATGAGGCTTCACGAGTCCATTTGTTCCCCACAGTGCATAGTCCGACTGGATATAAAAAATACTGTTTATGTGGGGTCACAGAATGATGTAAGGGTGAGCACTGACAACGCTATTATGGCACTAGAGCATATGTGACTAATCAAAACCCATATTGTGTGTCATGTTTTACTTGGGGTGGTTTAGCATTTCTGCTGTTATTTAGAATATGATTAAAGCATGACTGAGAATACGTGCGTGAATGTGTTTGTGTCCGTAAGACAAGGAGTGGAACTGTGTCAGCAGCGATACTTACAGGCTAATTCACTTATGCTGCAGCAGGGGTTTTACAGTGAATTAAAATGATTTGTCATGAGTGGGGACGTGGCAGTATATTTCTCTCGCCTCATTCTTGATGTCATAACAAACCGGCGGTCGCAGATTATATTTCTCTGCCTTTGTCTTTCTGCGTCTAAACACAACAGGTGAATGGATGTGGCGCTCCACCACTGACAGCAGCGTGTGGATGGACATCATTCTTTGGACTCCTGCCACTGCTTGTTGCACAGTGACTCGTGACATTTGACTTAGTTATTACAGGAAAAAAGGAGCTATGAGAACTCAATCTCCCCTCCACAAAGCCGGGGAAACGTGGACTAAAGGCACAGCTTTGCTCGCAGCTGTAAGCACAAACAGCGCTGCACGCTGGGAGATAAATGTCTACAATAAAAAACATCCGCTGGCTATGCGTAGGAAGTGTGCACTACATACCATGTGTGTTTTTAAATGCTGTTGTAAGGCGTATGAGGTCATGACGAATGTGAAGCGAGAGAATGGTGCTTCACTAGAGACAAATGCTTTTTAATTTAGGTGCAAGCTACACCTCACTCCAAAAGACCCATATTCTAATTATCTCCACAATGATTACTTTTGGATTACAGCCACAATTTCTATTTATTGTTCAGCTATATTTTTTGTCTTGCCACCTCTTATCTTGTCCTGTTAGACCAGGTTCAAACTACATTCATCTGAAAAAGAGGAAAGGTGCCTTATACCAGATTTAGCCACTTGTATGGATCACTACAGAGGTCTGACCCAGAGATCATGTCTGAAGATGATATCTAAAGACAAAGTCACCATGTATCTTCTGTATTCTTCAGACTTCTCTTCAGTCTGTTGTAATCCTGCATTGCGATCCCTGATCTTACATCCCAGAGCTGTCAAGCGATGGAACAACACTTCACTAGACAGGTGACATTGTTCACATGGTCATTGATCAGAGCCTCCTACTGCGTCTTCAGGTTTCATGTGTTTCATGTTTAGCTCTAAAAGAGAACGCTGTGCTTTATGTCCTTCCTCGTCTCGACTCAAGCTCTTTGAGTGAACATGTCTTACAATCTGAAGGTCACAGGATTCATCCTGCAGAATCAACCATGTATAATACAGAAAACCAAATGTATGCACAATTCCCTCACTCCCTCCAGATATATGATCGAATAGACGGCGTAAGATTAAGAGAGAAGAAAGAGGTTTTCAAAAGCAGGTCTATTATGGAAGCGTTTGGTAAAGGTTAAAGCTGAACTACTTTTCTAAAACAACATACCTACGTCTCTGAATGTGTATTGATGTCCTTGGAGTAGAGCGGGTGCAGTTTCCACACAAACAAAGACAGGGGGGATTCAAGAGACAACGCCCCACTTCACTCTATTGCCATTTAACCTTTTTCTCTTCCCAGTGAGTACATGTTTATTGACAGGTATTGAGAGCAAGTGCGATTGCTGCTGAAAGCATGTCAAAATACACCCCGACCGTGGTAATTAAAGACGCAGCGCAAACACGTTGGGGGGGTAAATTAATTCCTCTGGGGGTTCGTGCTCTCCGCCTGGCACACAATAAAACATCCAAACAAAGGGAAATTTTCAGCTCTGACATTAAACATCAGCAGGCAAATGTCAACTAGACGGAAAAAAAATCAACAACGCTCCTTTCTATTCTCATCTATACAGCTGCCAGTGTGTGTTTGCGTGTGTGTGGATGTGTGTGTGCATGAAGACAATACTTCTTTGACAGATGCCGGCAGTTCCCCAGCATGTCACTCACACTGCATTTTAAAACGTCATCACCACATTATCATTCAGGGAATTAGATGAATGACGGCATGTAAACAGTCATCCATACATGTGTGGTGATGTGTGCGCTTGCACTAGAAGATTGTGCAGCATACATGCACATTCACAGACTGTGTGACTGAAGAGGCAATTACCAAGCATGCGTTTCCACCATGCTTTATTTGCAATAACTGTCATCGGCAGAGTCTTGGGCTCCTTATCTGATTTTTATGAACATACTTGGAGGGATTATTGAGATTTGTGAGAGAACCGCGATGAAATGTGAAAGTGAGAATAAAAAAGAAACAGTAAGGGAGAGCAAAATGCTAATATTCCGTGGAAAGTGATGAAATATTAACTATCTCTCACAGCATGTAGAAGTTGGTCGGGAGGAGAAAAAAGGCAAAACACAGAGAGAGAGAGATTATTAGACGATGTTTCCATGATGAGCTTTTTTCTAATCCCGTCATGCCTGAGGAGCTCAGAGAGTGAAGCCGTCAAACTCTCACACCGCACAATTCAAGAGTCGACAGGCCAGGGGCAGCTGTGCATTTTTTAACACTCCATCATTCAGCAGCTGTGGAGCATGAATCAGTGCTCTGCTTCTCTCCAGTTAGCATTTGAGTTTCGGCTGTAGCGGGTAAAGATCAGTTTCAGTGACTTTATGGCCACATATCAGAAGAGGTCAGTGTACAGTCAGAAAGTAAAAACACTTCAGTGTGACAATGACAATAACATGTTTTCAGATTGTGCTAGATTCCTGAATTCAAAGATAAGAATTCTGGGGACTTCTTTAATAAGAGTAAGGCTGCAGACCAGCTCTAGTGCATCTAAGTCTAGGGAGTGGTGCTTTTTCTAACAGCACATTAGCGGAGTAGAAAGTGTCTCGGAGGGCCATTACTCTACACCCCGAACAGCTCCAACAGCGGGGTTAACAGCGCAGGTGCCAGGCTGAGTATTATGGTGTAGCGGTGAGGCATCAGGGGCCTCTGGTCTGCCAAGGTGCAGTGACGCCCGAGCCTGCTGTCAGAGCCGCGGAGCATGGGCTGGACGAGGGCAGTCGCCTCACCATCTGTTGCACGACAGCCAAAGTCACCCTGTAGGCTGTGTGTCTGAGTAGGGAGTGTGTGTACGAGGGAATGTGTCCATGTCAGTGTGTGTGTGTGTGTGAATATGTACAAAGCTAAAATGTTTTTTGTCCAGACACATTATTTGAGGGTGTGTATGTGTGTGTCACTCATGTAGTGGGGACCTAAATCTGGGGACATTATGGAGACTTGTCTAATATATGCAGACAAAAAGCTAAACCCCAAGGAAGTCTGTTTTTTCTATAAACGTGTACACAACTGTGTGTGTTTCTCCTAGTACACACTTTTCATTTAAAAACTTTTACAGAAGAAATGTGAAAAGAATGTGTTAGGGCTGTATGTGTTTCCTGTACTGTGTGTTTCTCTTGTCTCTCCTCTAGCTCCACCCTTAAACCCATCAGTATCAATGAGGTGCACCTGGCCAGTGCATGGAGGTTCTTTAAAAACTCCTGATTCAGGATCAGAAGGGAGGTTTCCACTGTGAGGACTGCTGGGCCTCAGCCTGGGATTTTAACATTGTGTGTATTGTGTTGTTTGCTGATAATACATCCCATGGTTCTGTTGTTTTAAAGGCTTTCTGATCTTGAATCGTCTCAGTGGTGGCCAGTGATTTTACATGTTGTTCCCCTCATAGGTCCACAATACTGTGGGGCGTAACAAATGTAAAGCTCTCTGTGCAGAGGTGACTGAAGGAGCAAAGTGTTGCCACCACGATAAATAACTCAGTCGTACCCAATGTTACACCTCATTTAAACTTTATCAGATGCCTATTTGACTTTATTGCTGGTTTCGACTTATTTCATAGAAACTTGGTGATCATGAATGGATTTTAGAAGATTTAGAAGATTCCACTTAACATTTTTCAAATTCAAAAGGAATGGCCACATTTACATGATCCTGGAAATGTGCAGGTGTGTGTATCAAGCCTGTAACCAGTTACTAAAATTAGATTCCTCCTCCAGTATAAAATACATGGCATGTTAAGAAATGTAGAAATACCAACATCCTGTAATATTATGAGATATCCTTTTTGTCTTCATGGGACAGCAGTAGTGAAAGCATTTTAATTTTAATTAATAAAGTACTTCTGATTCTGATTCTGATAAGGTCATAAGGGGATTTTCTGGACTGACCACTTCTCTGGGCAGCTGGGAGTCCTCCTGGCGTGTCACGAGCAGGTTCACAGTCCCACCCATGGGTGTGGCTCGTAGCAGGGCCACCACCTCTTCCTGAGTCTTGCCATTAAGGTCCACTCCACTAACCTGCACACACACACACACACACACACTGAGGCAAAACTAAAATCAAAGTGCTCTCAGACTTTAACAAGGGAGAATCTGTGGCCTCCTCATAACCTTTATGCAGATGAGTGGCTGAGCCAGTTGGAATTAAACATGGGTGATTTCCCCCTAAAGTCAGCGGTAGCTGATTTTCATGTCAGTCTGATTGAGGTATAATCAAAATATTGTTCCATCTAACCAATTTTCCTCTACAATTGAAAGCAGTGTTGTAGCCATAGGGAACACAGTGTATTTGACTTATTTCAACAAAGCTCAGTTAGATTGAATTTTTGGAACAAGCCATCATCATCAAAGAAGTAATTAGTGTCTGAAATTACATACAATCTCAAAGAGCCCACTCGCTTTACTCTGTGTAATGGTTGGAGGTTAAAGAGCGCTGCCTCACCTCCAGTAGGCGATCTCCAGCTTTCAGTCGGCCATCTTGGATGGCGGCGCCGCGGGGAAGGATGTTTTTGACGTAAATGGGAGCACTGCCGCCGATGGGGACGTCTCTGGATGTGATGCTGAAGCCCAGACCCTCTGGACCTGGGAGAAGAAAAAAACACTATTACAGTAAAAAAAGAAATGTGATATGTTACTTACCACTGTTGACTGTTTTCATCTCGCCACATAGGAGTGAAAGGTCAGAGTTTAGAGACTACTTTTCAGTGTTTTACTTTTATCAGCAGAAGTGATTGAACCTGGGCAGCAAAATAGAGATTGTCAGTCTAAATGCTCTCACATCCTGCGACCGCAAAAACATATCTGTGCTAGTAGTGATTTACCTCCAGGTGAAAAGGGTGAAATACATAAAGGGCACATGTTTGGCAAAGTGTTACAGCAGCTTCATGAGTTTGTAAATGTCAACAAGAAATAATCTGTGTCTCCTGGGAAACAAAAAGACATTCCCTTTTCTTGGTTTTTCTTATTTTCTCACTCTGCAGATGAATATTTTTATCTAGTCACCATTATTGCTCATTAAAGTCACAGGGGAGACTTATAAAATGTATCAAGCATTATATTACTTCCACTGTGGCTCTAAGAAACAGAGAAGGCTCTTAGATCCATTTCTGTAAGATCCTTTTTATTTCATGTCACTGAAACATGAACAACCGCTGCACAGGGATGAAATTATGGTTCTCCTCCTCTTTTCCATCCTCAAATTTGTCACTGGTTCGCCATCAGGGTGTGTCTCACTCAGGTTTGTCAGGAAGTAAAAATGAAAACATGTCCTCAACTCTAAATATAGTGTTGATGCTATATGAACCAAAATTGAGTGTTTGTGATAAGTGCATGTGGACTGTAAAGCCACTCATGTACATTATGGTCAGATTAAAGAGCATTCATTGACCAGTAGCCTCTTAAAATGTAGAGCGCTACACCTAAATAGCACAAATACAGTTTTTGAAATCATCCGCGTATGTGCTTGATAGTTTAACCAAAAGCTTCAGACTCTTTGGTGCAATGACAAACCAAGAGGCTGCGTTCGAATCGTATCTGGGTCAAGACAATATTTCATATGTATACAGAAGTTTGCATAATGTAGACAGCAGTGATCTTTACATTTACATTACAGTTGTTTCTTATTGATGCATCCTTGAGCAACAGCTGCAAGCCTTTTTTAAAGTGCAGTGAGTGGTGAGGCTGAGTCTGAGAAAACACCTTTAGGTATCAACTGTGCAAAGCCATTTGCTGTTAGGTTTTAAGACTGACCTTTAAGGTTCATCAAATGAATATGAATAGCTGGTCTGGAGGAAGTGAGCAAATACAATAAAGGATAAATAAGAGGATCTCAGGGCTGACCTTTCCTGCTGACCAGACCTAAATTTGTCAAATAAAAGCAAGAAATTGTTTCAAATGTCAGTAGGGGACTAAGGTAAAGCACATAAATTGAGTTTGTCTCTTATCTTTGATGGAATATTTAAAAATTCAACAGCCTTGCTACTTTATGTTATTAGATGGACATAAGGAGCAGTGTCGCAAAACCTAGCTGCCTGTGTTTTTCGCAGTGGAGCGGGAACGATGGTTACGTGGTTCAGTCAAGGCTGTTCTGATGGTAACAACAGTGATTAGTATTCATGTCAAAGTAGCTGCTCATTTCACGGAGCTGTCAGCACCTCTGAGGTTCATCATGACCTACTTTTCCCAGTGTGTCTCTCCAGCAGTCTGTCGAACTTGTCTGTCGTCTCGCTGACAGTGATGGCGTTGATGAACGAGAAAAGGAAGAGAGAAGTGCGGATGGCAACTTTCTCGTGGCTTCTGCACACAAACAAACTTGCGGGAAAGGTGATGAAGAGGTTGCTTATAAAGTCAGAAAGTTGAGCTGCTGAAAGTTGATGACGTGCTATGATCTCTCCATCAATGCAGCGATGCAGCATGATAACTATGCAGACCGAAATAGCTGCCGTCGTTAGTGTTGAATGTTAAATCTGTCTTTATGAGTGACTAACTTTTATTACAAGGTCACATAGGCTGCCATGACAATCAGTACCACTTCTCTCTGGAGTGGTACTGAAAATGAAACTATAGAGTAAAGGCCCTTTCAGACAGGACGTGACGGCAGCACCGCTGCACTCTGAAACCCATCCTTTCCAATGGTGTACGTGACACAAGGATGGTTTATTCACAGCACCAAGATAAGCACAAAAGCAGGTCACCAATGTGCAAGGTTTGCACAATATGACCAAAAGTTGTGCGTCCAATAGACATGAAGCATCCAACCAGGAACAATGGAGGAAAAGTTGGGTTTTGAGTGCGGCACAAGAGAAAACTTACTTGAATGCAGCACGATGCAGATAATGTAAGCTGCATTGAGTTTGTGTTGCTCTGTTCCTTACACCCATGGTTATTACTTTTTCTTCCCTGATTACAAAAAGCTGAATTGTATTAATTAAAAACCAGCCCAGCCAACATGAGCGATTAGACTATCATAAGATATCTTGTCCGATCCCGGCCTGGTTCATTTGGTATAACCACACTTTTGTGTGTCAGAGTTCCTGGAATTATAATTAAAAAAGTTTATGAGACACATAAAAATGTTGAGTCAAGTAGTCACATCAGGTATGTTTCAACAGTCAGGTACCGTGTTGTTGATACATGCACCCAGCCTAATGAACAGAATCAAACTCCCGCCCATTGTATGATCCTGTAGTTAACTGTCTCCAATCAGGTAATTAGAAGAATGCAGCTCTAATATGGTTGCAGTAATTAACCACTGGCATCTTTATATTGGGTAATAGAGGAGCAGGATAAAAGTAATTGTATCCCTTTCTGGATTAGTTGGAATCCTGGCTCCAATAAGGCAATTAAACAGCAAACATGAGAAGAGGCTGAGGCACGTTAGAATGAGTTAATGTCCTTTTCAACAGCAGACATTTGATTAAGGCACTCTTGTTAATTTGCCATGCGAGATCTGCTCCTGCCACTCGGAACTCAGATCCATTTAGGCCGAATCACAACAGTTACAAAGTGGATCAACAACAGAAACGGCTGAACCCTGTCTGAAAGTACATTAGTAGCGATGGTAATCAAATGGAACTGTCAAGATGAATTTCAGAAACACATTTAGAGCCTTTCACATTTTATCGCTCAGATGAATTTCCGATTCAACATTTTGGACAATAATTCATCTCCATTTACTGTTTACGAATGGATTGAAGTTTACAAGTGAGGCACATCCTCCCCAGCAATAATCTCAGCCACCACTTCTGTCACTTGGGCAAAAGCAACAACTTTGAAGAATTATGAGTAGTTCTGAATTAGAACATGATGCAATGTGGCTAGTGCAAAGAAAAGAAACTACTGGCACAGGTCTCTTGCTGGAGCTTCACCAACATCTTGGCTTGGTTTTCTCTGAAACAAGAGACTGGTGTGCAGACAAAAAGAGAGGAATTCTATCACATTAAAAACAAATAAATAGAACTTGCACTGAAGTGCTTGGGGACCTTTGCCAAAGATATTAGAGAAGCTTGTGACTGCTTTCCCCGTGAGGTATGTTGCATTTAGCCTCCGTTGCTGCCCTCACTTGCCGCTCTTTTCCCTGAAGCTCAGCGCTGAGGTCTCAGTGCCAGCTTTCAACTAAACATCTGCTCCCTCCGACAGGACAGAGAACAAAAAAAAAAGGAGAGAAAGCGTTGTCCCCTCTGCCCTGGTTCATTTCACAACCAACTACTTGTCAATATGTGTGAAGATAGTGAAGTGATGAAAATGAGATGGGGCCTGGCAGTAAATCCACCACAATGACTGGCTAAGATATACAATGCTCCAGTTTTACAGGCCTGTCCACAAACAAACCGACCTCAGCCGGAGGAAGACTGATTGCTGAATATCAGTGTTTCAATTTTCATTCCACAAAACCACAGTGATCCAGCCCTGTGCAAGAAGCACAGTCTTTCAAGATGTGGTTGATCTGTGTTTGCATTTGGCTTGCTCCGTTAAACAAAACCCTGAGGCAAGAATAGATTTCTGAATATTTTCTAGGAGATTAACAGTATTCTTTATTCTCCCTGAATCTGTTGTGTACTCTAGAGAATATAAAGGCATACGTATGATGAGACGGCCCTTTGTCCCCTTTCACTCAGCAAGGGGTAGGGGAGTAGGAGGAGAGACAAACCTCTGTTAATCTTTCCATTCCATGTCTCTTGCTACTTGCTGCAGATAATCACATTGTTTATTTGTGGCCGTGCATCCCTGTTACTGCTGGTTCTTACCTTTCTTCAGCTGGATGTTGAATCTGTGGCCTTTGTTCTTCAGGTATGAGCTGTTTGACTGGTTTGTGCTTATTCTGCGCTGCAGGGAGGGGGAGGGGGCTGAAGAGGTCCGAGAGACCAAGGCGTGCGGTAACATTGTGTACCGTCGGCTTGGCTCCGGGGTGCTTCCTGCCAGGGGGCCCTGGTGGCTACAGGAGACAAATATCAGGGTTTGTATTTGGTATTTGGGTGTATTTGACCATAAATAAACAATTTCTAATATGATGGAAAAGAAAACACAAGCTTTGTCCCTTTGATATTTCCAGCATGATGTTTTGGTAATTTTGCATTATTTTATCTACCAGTACCAAGAACGGATGTTGTCATCATATTGTGGCAAAATTAGATACATTAGGAGAACTTCAAGCTGCTATTTGGACTCGTGGTGGTGGAGGCAGTTAATGAAAACTTCAAACTTGTAGCCTGGATGAAAGTTGTCCAGACAAATGTTAATTGGATGACAGTGGTTATTTTGAGACAGTTCTGATAGCCTCCTCTGCTAATGGGATTCAACCATTCATGTCTACGTCAGTGTATATAGCCATTATCTGTCAGGCTGCTATAATATCCAGGACTATAAACGTTTCAACTTATTGGATAAACACCACATCTTTATCTTTCTGGAATTTGTCCAGAGGCATTAAATAAATTAATTGTAACTACAGGTATATAAATGCACTTTTAACAAGATGATCGTTGGTGTGGGCTCCAAGGTCTCAGGTAGAAATTCTTATTAAACTGCTCTCTTGCCTTTTAATGTGTAGCTTTTAAACTATGATGGATTCACAGTGAATATATTATGGGGAAGTCCTTGACTGGTGCAATTAAGACAAAATTGGCAGGCATTAGAAAGTGTGGCAGCCTGAGACTGTTTAGATTTAAATAAATGTTTTTTTTTTTATTCATCCAATCAGAGGGACAACTTTTTGGACCATGCTGATCTTAATTCAGGATAGATGTTAATGCGGACAATGTCTGTGGATAGAAGACTTCGGTATGTTTTCACATAAACACACTAGTAAAAAACCCGATGGCAACCTTCTGACAGCAAGAAGAACAGCTTCTTTGTTTCTTACGTTTGGCTGAGCAACATGGAAAAGTGAACACAAATGTGCGTGTAACTGCTAAAAACGAACAGCATGCATGAAGGACTTGGAATATAGTGCATTTATCATGACACACTAACAGTGCAAAGTGCTCAATTTACTTTTCTGGTGCATACACATTTGTGGGCTACACATGGACATGCGGTTCACTCAGACCCCTTGGAATTGGACAGTAATGAATTGAATTGGCCTTTACTTTTATTTTGGGTGGTGTGTGATTTGTCTTTCAGCATCAGTGCAGGCTGTCTGAACATCTTAACAACCACAAAACGTTTTCTGAGGATAACAAACACAGGTAACAAAGCAAAGGTCAAACATACTTGTGGTTAAGGCCAGGTGGCGGACCAGACCTGGATGCCGGCCCACCGACTAGACTGGACCTGTCGCCCGGCCTGTGAGAGCCTTGGCTAAAGTAGACTCTGCTGGATGGACTGAGTGCGCCCTGGGCTGACAGCAGCTCATACTGCCTCTTCATGACTGCAGGAACCACATGGAAGAGGATGAGCGGGGAGCGCATCGCCTGCTTGAAGATGTTCTGGGCTCTGGAGGTGATACACAGAGAGTGTGGAGGTCACGCAGACAGAAATAAATTAGCTTTAACATGATAAGAGATACAAGTATAATAATGTACTATCATAGCTTGGCAGATGGAAGGATAAGGAAAGGCTGTGATGCACTGTATGTTGAGAGGTGACAGAGGGAGTTGAGGTTAGCATAGCTAATCACAGGGCTTCTCACTGTACAGCAGCAGAGAAACGGAAAGTACATTATCTGTAATTACCAGCATCAAGACGGGAAGAAGATAAGGATGGTGCATGGAGTCGGTAATGAAATATTATACATTGTGCATTGCTAAATGTAGGTCTGTCTGCAGCATAGTAGTCTGTGTGTTTGTTTGAGTTTAGAGATGAGTGGACATGAGTTGACTCAACAATCACAACAGAGATGATGAATCATGCATCAGGGAAGCTTTCCAGACAATGAGGTTCCAAAGTGTGCAGACAGAAGCTTCATTCCCTTCACACTAAATGAGAAAGAAAAAGCCAAAACACACACTGTTGGTCTCATGCAAGCTTTAGGGGCTGACTAAGCCAAGACAAGGGCTCAACACCACTCCCAGACGCACAAATTGTTTAGTCTGGTTTGCCGGCGGCACTTAGCATATAGATAGGCTTGCCATGAGCGAGCCAGGCAGCAGCATAAGAGGTGTGGTAGTTGTCTGGAATCCAACAATCCCAACGCCTCCTTCCAGACCCCCATTACCACACCAGTAATACCGAGCTGATTCTATCCAAATGATAGCAGCTAAGTTGCTTTCGCTACAACAGATGCCGCTTCATTCAAGAGGTGTCACAGAGGCGAGAGCTGAATGTGGTATCAAGGCACTTCTGAGGGATTTGGTCTCTCCCTTCTTTATTCTTATGCTAATTTACTAAAATCACTCACATGTGCACGCTGAGATGTGATGACTGAGTGACTGTGTGTTTGTACACAAAATGCTCCCACATGCACATATACACTGCCATCACTCCGATAATCAGCCTCCATGCGAGCCTGATTGAATAATAAATTACCCCATCAATGCATCATTACATTCAGTTAGATTAAGCGCCTCAAAATATTTACCCATGCAAAACAATCCAAGGAGATTAGGCTATCACTTTAAAATGTCGCTCTCTGCGGCACACAATCAAGTCGAAGGGTGGTGGTGATGATGAGGGTGCGAAGGTAGGAGGGTGGGGGGGGGGGTGCTGTGCGTAGAGGAAAGTTTAGCTCCTTCACCTAATTTTCATGCAGAATTGCAAACATCGTATGTGTCTGGGTGCTGGTGAGGAGTGTGTGTTTGACAGAGGAGGGTAAGTCCTCAAAACATCACTCCCTAGTGGATTTGGTTTGAAAGCCTCTTTCACAGTAGAAAAGGCTCGGTAGGGAAATTGGAATGTTTACTAATGACAATAGCATCGTATTGAGGGGAAAGAAAGAAAAAAAAATCTTTGAACCTGAGCGGCTTTGTTCACAGTCTGGTGAACACATTAGCATAATGCGGAAGGGTTACCGGGGGTTTACAAGCTGACGGAGTCAGTTATGTGATGTTAGGCGTGCCTTGACAATGATATGAGTAGTTGAGGACAAAGTTGGCAGTTTCTGACTCCACTTCTGAATGCAGAGGAGTTCCAAACTAGATTTCTGTCAGTCATCGAGCAAGGTGGCTCTAAGCCCAGTGATTTTAGATGTGTCCAGCCCAGTGTGACTGGCTGGCTGTAGGCTGGAGCTTCATTAGCAGGAGGCCAAGACTTCTCTTCCCGTGGTGGAGTGAATGATAAGAGAGGGAGCCAAGCAGACCACCTCTATACACTGCCTCCAGAGCCCTGCCTGGAGGACAAGCAATCTATTTCTCTGCCTGGCACACACACACACACACACACACACACACACAGGGGTGTAGATAAGACTATATAGCTCAGTGTCACCGCGTGCGTGTGTCAGAGGATGTCCGAGAATGTGTGAGGATGGCTTTGGATAAATTGGGGTGGGGGTTGTCCCAGGATTATATCTTCATTCCACTTTAGGAAATGAAGGGGAGCAATGAATCGATAGAAATGAATCGCGAGAAGCGTGTAGGTGGTTTTAGATCAGAGGGCGAAGCGGTGATGAAGGACTGCAGGTCACTGAGACCTATTTCAGGAAGGCCAACGAGTCGGTAATATTTCTGTTTTATTGTGGCGGCCGTGTAGATGTCACGTCTCTCTGCAGTTTGGGTTGCACTTATCAACAGCAACACTATTTACTGTCACTGCACTTTATGTCCAACACAGCTCTGTTACTGTGAACTGTATCAAGCAGTGTACAGTGGTTGGGAATAATAGTGTGTGTAAAGCTTTGGATTTTGGTTTCCAGTGCACTGTAAAGTTTAAACTATAGGTTGCATTCACGAAATGCAAATAAAACGTGCAGGGTAATATAGCAGGGAAAATATGTTGCAATGGTCTATGCAGGAGCAACTTTGAGGCTTACTGTTCAAAGCGAAGGTTGCGAATGTCTCCCTGATTTATCTTGACGATGCAGTCGTTCTCCTGGAAGAGACGTTCCTGTTCAGCTTTTCCTCCATGCTCCAGGCGTTTCACCAGCAAACCCTGAGTCCTGCAAATGATTACACAGGTTACAGATAAAACATCATCTGGAAACATTTCAATCACTCCACAGTCCACACCGTCACATATCAATACAACGAACAGCAGGCAGCAGGTTGCAAGCTTTGTCCCGTGCATACAATACTGTGGGAAGCTTATATATAGAGGTCTAGAAAAGAAGGTGGGAGGGATGGATACATTAATACTATTAATGTATCAGTTCTTACTATGGTTTATACATTTATAACTAGTGAATCAAACATTTCCCACAGAATTAATTCAGACTATGAGGGTAATGGGGGGGTGCAAGTGCACAAAGGTCACTCTCACTTGCAGCAGATTCTGAATGACAAGTTCGCAGAATGGAGAGTAAAATATATTCTAGCATGAGAAAAAAAACTGTACTGCATGCGGCTACTGCAGCGGAGAGTATGAGCTGTGACAGTCTGCGTGGACGGTAATAATGTTATGGAACATTGCAAGCACGCGGTAGCTCGAGTTAGCTATAGGTCGAGGAATATAGAGCTGAATATATCGCTGCACACACCAAGTTAGAGAACTCTTGTCATCATGAGAAGTGTAAAAAAATATTGGTCCATTATGAAACTGTGGCGGGACAAATTAGAATATGTCGGGCCGCCACAGTCTGGATAATTATCGGAAAACACTGCAGCGCAAGCATTTTTATTCATATCATCAGTGAACAAGTCATGAAAAATAATCAGTTCTACTGTTGTGATACTTTAAAAGTTCCCCACCAGATTTTTGGGAGAGTGAGTGAGTTTGCAAAGTAAGTTTAGCACATTTGTGGTGTGCTGTACTTTTGTGCCCCACTGTCAACAAAAGTTAACTTTCAAAACTGTAAGCTTAGATAAGAGCCTGCATTTTCCTGCGGCCTGGAGAGGAGATGTATTATTAACTTAATTTTAAGCCGCTGTCCAGCCCTCTGTCCTCCGCTCTCTCTGTCGATCCAGGCAGGTTTGAGAGAATGACAGGATGGGTTGTCTCAGGTAATCCCGACCAACAGCTAAGAGATCATCTTATGCCTTCAGAGGAAACACTGCAGTAGCCTTCACTGAGACGAAAGCTGGCAGTGCTGCAATAAATACCTAAGCAGTCGCGCAGCAGTGCTATCTCAGCAATCCCTTCAAAAAAGGCAACCTTTACCTTCAAATGTGCCGTCCCTCTCTGCCACCTCTAAATAAATACATCAGTGAGCTCTTTTGGGCTTTCAGCTAGACCCTCAGGATATACACATGAAGAGATCCGATGTGCACTCGAACAGCAGAACTACAAACTCCGTGGTTGTCTAAGGCGCCAGACGCCTGAGGATGCACATGGGCGGACTGCGTGCAAACTTTTGATGTCCTTCTATAAACTGACAAAAGGTGTAAAGGCTTTCTTTTGGGAAATTAAAAATAATGATGAAATATATCAGAGCCAAGAAGACGATGCAGAAGTTTACACTGCAATCAACAGTTTAACTGCGGCAAGGACATCAGCTGCAAGCTCTCGGTTGTTTCCTCTCATGTCAGTGGCCACATAAACAACAGCACATTTATATCGTGACCCTGTTTACCATAGACGTCAAGGGCAGATCTGCAGAGCTCTTTAGCATCTCAGCCAAACAGGGCCACTCTCAGAACATTGCTCTAATTGGCTGCATAACGTGGACATCCACGCTCATGCCGCAGACTCGTCACGGCTCCTCAGTGGGGGTAAATGGTTCAGCATTAAGTTGAAATTAAAGATCACAATAGGCCCTTCCCTCTTCCTCCATGTCTGAGCCAGTGTTGCCAGGTCGGCTTAAGTGTGTTGAACAGAGAGTAATTGCGGGCTCGGTGGAAGTGGACATGATTGTGCTTTATTTTCATAAGTGTTGGCAGCTTGAAAACAAAGTATGGCACGTTTAGAATACAGCATGGACACACTTTAATGACTTTTGATATGGTAGCAGGCCAGAGACAGCAGATAAGGGAGTCGCTGTTGATCCCTAATCAGTATTCAAAGCAGCAGTAGGGAGGATTGTGGTAAAGCAGCATCTTTTAGGGATTTGAGGAAGATGATGATTTCATAAAAGCGCCATTATTGTGATGGCTGTAATGCACTGCCACCCTCTCAATTCCCGTCTGCCTCACTGATGGGATTTTTTTGTAGATGCTTATCAGTTACTTGGGGAGAGTAAAAGAGCTAAAGCAAAAATCTTAATGGCATTTTTCATAGGCTGCAAGTCAGTGAATTCATTAGGCATCGGTTATAAGCACACAGAGTTTGTAGTTGAAGGACTCTCTGCAGACTCTGGAGGAAAATACTGTGTGTGTGTCCTACTTTTCACAATAATGACTCTACTCCATCTTGTGGCTGGGCAGCACTGCTGAAAACCGGATTCGAAAGAGGCCACCTGAGCTCATCTACTGCTTATAATCAAACATAGTAATAATCCAATCATGATCCATTTATGTACGGCAATTATGTCTGTAGTTTGTTTACAATTAGAACTGGTCATGGAATGGGAAGTTCATTAAGAAGCGAAGAATGCATCTGCAAGCACTGTGCAAGTGTGTGTGTGTAGAGTAGATTAGCACTGCTCACTAACCATTTGCATGTGTGCAATAAGAAGAGAAAAGCACCAGGAGTCTATATTGGAAAAGAGTTGCATGGTAGAGTTTTCACTCCAGGTGCGTGTGTATGTTTGTGTTAAGCTGCTTTCAAACACGGACTGAACTCTGGATAATCTCCTGATATTATCCAGAGCAGCTGTATATCACAACGCAAATGTCCGAGTCAGCTGCTGCGGACAATGTCCGGAGTTTCTCCTGCTAGGCCGTTAGTAAAAACTCTGAATGAGCCCATGTGAGAACACAGCAAGAAAACCTTCTGAGGATTCAACAGGAGCATGTGGACGACGTTTCTAAAACGACAGAGGCAAAAAAAAAGAATACAAATATCCGATATCGGTGTCGATGGAAACAAAAACATGTGATCTTCGCAGTAGAATGAAACCATCACGTCCTACCTCTGCATGCTGTACCACCCCTCACCTGAACACACCAGATATTTCCTCGTGTGTGTGAATTCACGTCTGAAAAAGGCTTCTACAAGGTAGAAGTTAATTTCCAGTCTCTAAGCTCCCTCCTGCAGTTGTCTACTCCACCTGCTTGGATCTGACTTGATGTCAGAGCAGTGAAGCAAAATGCAGACGGCCACTGCCGGAGCGCCTGCAGTTGCTTGTTTGTCGGCTGTCTGACCCCTGCGTCCCTGGTCTAGACACTAATGACAGCTCGCTGAGCCAAATGCCTCTTGTCCTAGTGCACAGGAAAGAGCTGGGCCAGGCCATTAGCATCATCCCATTGACCAGACGCTATGTCTTATCATGTCTGAAGTTAATTGAAGGCTCTGATAGCTATTAGTGCCGTGCTTAGCTGATGGAGAAGAAATCTACTGGCCATGCAGCATCACCGCTACTTGGAAACACAGTCTGATTTTGTGGGAATGTGGAGTAGCTAAAGGATAATAGCATGTCTCATAAATTGTTGCATTTGAACTTTATCTAAGCGATGTTGCTCACTGGAGTTTTAGATACGCTTCATTTAGTTTCTCCTCTGACTCAGGATAACTCACAGCTGCTGAGAGAGTCATTCACATGGGGTCAAAGCTAAATATAGTTTCCTGACACTTGCTTATAAACAGCAATGGGATTAGTGTCCCCAAAGAAATGACATGCGGCAGTCTTCAATGACAGCCATCCTCACTCCCTCAAATGTCATCCCATTTCATCTCCTCACTCTGTCTTTTCACCTCAGTCCCCTGCCTCCGTCTTCCAGCACCGAGCAGTTGCGTTCACCTTGGTGGCGTGCCAGTCCCTTGGCTTGAAGCAGGGATCCGTGTCATACACAAGCTTTTAGTTTGATTACATCTGGCCACTTCCTCTGTCCCTTTTTTTTTTTCTTGAATAACCATAAACTAGGACAGAACTCACGAGCACAAAGAAGCGTCTTGAATCACCTTGAAGGCAGAGTGGACACTGACATTGGTTAAAATAAAAGAGAAGCATAATAATAAGTCTGAGAAAAACTGTGCAGTCAGGAGCATAAACTACTTTCATCTGTTCTCCTTCCCACTGGGAGCTGTGGGATGTGAGCAGCAGTGGGTATTGCTGTGTCGTTACAGCAGTGAGACTCACAAAAATAAAAAAAATAGCGAGAAGAATTGGAGTCAATGAAACACACAGCCTAGAGTAAAACATAGAGAGGGATGAATAAGACGGAACAAAAAAATAGAGTTAGAGAAACTCAGAAAGAAATTGTACAATGATGAGTAAAAGCAAAAAAAAGAGAGCAACATCCACTGGGCTTCAATGCCAAAGCTGCAGGAGACATATTGGATGGAGAAACTAACTGGCTATTGTTGTACACTAAGCTGCATTGATTTCCAGATTCCTCTTCTTTCTCTTACCTGACATCCTGCAAACTGAAAGGCACGACGTGGATCCCCAGGGGCCCTCCCTCATTGGACACCTCGACCGGCTTGAGCAGGCCTCTGCAGGACGATGATGGATGTGGCCGAGAGGACGGGGGGAAGGAGGAGGCGGTGAGAGGGGGAGACGTGCATGAATACAAAATAACGAGAATGACAAGAAAATGCAGAGAGGCAGCATATAAAAGACGACACAGTCAAACATGACAGGGATGGGATGTGTGTGTGTGTGTGTGTGTGTGTGTGGGGGGGGGGGGGGGGGGGGGGGGTGCAGCTGTATTGGTGGAGCTGCATTGTGTTGCCCATACAAAGTCATCCATTACAAAGTCAGGATGGTGGACCTCAGGGTCGATTGGGGACCCAAATGGAGACTCCAATTAAGTGATTAAGATCAGACCCGTGCTAAAAGAGAACAAATTAATTGAATGTGAGGAGGAGGAGAAGGTTTGTTTGTGTAAAGATGTGAAGACAATGGTGGATGCAGATTTGTGTGATGGTATTGACAGGAAAAGGCTTTGATTTAAGCTTCTGTTTAGGAATTTTGTCATTTCCTTTTGAATAAATACATTAATACACCTCTCCATTTACGTTGTTGACTTGCTCAGTTACAAGCAGCATCTATTGCACTTCTGTCCGTCCTGGGAGAGGGATCCCTAATTTGTGACTCTGTGATTTCTTTGTTCTTTTATTTATTAGTATTTTTATTTCACTCTAGTCGAGGGTAAAGACCAGAATATGAAACACCTTGTTAAGCCCTTTGAGGCAAATTATGATTTGTGCATATCGGCTGATTGATTGGATGAATTATATTTAAGAAAATCCTCCTTTACCTTTTAAACATTTACAGCTATACAGATTATTGTAGATGTATTTGTTTCTGGAAATGACTAAATATCAGAAGCTGTATATATTTTATTTTTGATATATCGTTGGTGCAGGGTGGAACACTCACTCTAGACTTATCGCTGGCCTCTCCAGTGACGAGTCAGCCCTCCCTACTGGCTCTATCCGCTCAATCCTCCTTTCCTGTCTCCTTTGCTCTTCCTCCTCCTCCTCCTAAGAGAAAGAAAAGACAGGATAAATCACTAAACAAAACTTAAACAGCTCACACTCTCTGGGATTATTTCAATTTGGCTGTGCCTGCATCCCCTCCTCTCCTGCCTGTGTCTCTCCTCTGGCTTTTAATCCAATTTCCTGCAGGAACAAGTAACAGTTAGTTAAATTAAAAGAGACTTTCAGCTAAGGACAAACTGGGGCCCTGACGCTGCGGCTGAGGCATCCTAACCCAGTCAAAAACCTCAGCGACTGAAGTGACAAAAGTGGCACTGATCAATTGGTCATGCTCGCTCAATCAGGTCTGGCCCGGGGCGTGGCACCGCTCCTGTGTATCCACAGCGATGCGATGAGGTCCTGAGTGAAGTGGTCGGCGCTTGCTGTCATCTATTTCTCTCACTCTCTTCATTTCATTTACTCATCTTCCTTCAGGGCCATTAGGCAGCAAGGCTGGAGTGCTACGGTTTTTACAGGCGAGCCAGACGTCTGACGACTTAACTAGGCTCTGGGATGAGACAGCGGCATCATGCTTTCCTTAATGGGGGATAGAAATCTTTATCTGAGCTGGCTTTAAGGGAATGGTACAGCCTGAGCAGGGCACTTACATATAGTGATGACATGCTGTTTGTAGAATAGGGGGAGACATATTTAATAACACAAGGTACATTTTAAAACTAATCATCATCTGTCGAGGGTTAGTTACAGCAAGAGCATCAACAAGTGAGAAGCACGCTGAACAACTGACTTTCTTCATTTTGGAAGGAGAAAGAAATTTCAATTGTCGCTTCTCCTCCTGAGCCGTGTGTTTTCCTGCATGTGTGTGTTTGTGCTTGTCACAATCCAGACAGCGACTCCTCAGGAGGGTCTCCTGAAACGCTTTGTTACACTTCGCGATTTCCTCCACCCTCACCCCTCCCCTTTCCTCTTTCTCCCTCTTTTACTTAAATGTCAAGCACATCCAAATAGGTCTTGTGCCTTCTCTGCTTTCTTTATGGAAATGGATTCAACCCTTCTCAGAGGCCAGGTTATCTTTGGCGACACGCAGTAGTGGGGCAGAGAGACTCCGTCCCCCTATTTATTTATTAGAGAAGGGGGGTAAGGTGCAGTGGGAGCATGAAAATTTCATCAGCAGTCTGCCTTAGGAGACCTCGACTCACCCTACCTGTCTGTCTCCCTTCTCTAACTGTCCCGTATGAAAATTAGTCAGTCAACCAGCCACCCCACCTTTAATTACATGTCAGTTGGGGTCCTGGGTGCCCAGAGAACTGCTTTTTATAACGCTCTTTATGAAAACCCCTCAGGTTGGTTGGCTGAAATTTCTCCATATAGATATATATATATATATATGCTCAGCACAAAGGGCTCAGCCACATGCAGGAATCCATAAATAAAGACGGGAGGGCAACGAGTGGAGAAGGCAGGTGGAATTGGAAAAGCAGAATAAATACAAGACCTTATAATTATATGTCATGAGACAGGACTGGCAGAAGCTGAGGTATGAAAGCACAGGAATATGTAGACTTTGGTAAAGAGGTGATGGTGCTGAACATCTTCGTCTCATTAGAGAACAGAATGATCAGAGAGGTGAGCTGTCTCATAGAAAAGTGATAGATAATTAAGTTGGGTGACAGACGCTCCAAGGAACAGTCTGCTGTTAGTTTGCTCCTGTAGGTGGTTGTTTATGTGACTGTACATTTCTACCTCTTTAAGGATCTTTCATTGCATTTGTGTTTATTACCATTTTCCCACTAATTCCAGAAATGTCTGTACGCATATCTCAAGAACCGTTCATATTATTGGCTTCACACTTGGCATGTGTTGTGCAAATTGCCCGAGAAAGTGCAGTGCAGAGTAAAATGAGATTTGGACACGCAATGTGTTCAGTATTACTAAAAATAGAAAAAAAACAGGCAACCAGCAGTCTGCAGCAGTAGATGGGGTCAGAGCAGTGGGCCTTTAGAGTTGAACATGTCTACGTCCTCAGATAAACCATATTAGTGGTCAGCATGTGGGTCAAGCTGTTAGATAATTAGATTAGATGATTAATTATTTTTATATCACCATATCTGACTGATAAAAACATTCACGGTCCTGATCTCTGTGATGGCAATGACATTTATAGAATCCCTAAAATGATGTTGGTTGCTTAACAGTTCTCTGAAACATGCAATGTATGAAAAATAAATAACAGCAGTTGCGTTAATTATTCAAACATAACAGAACACAACGTTTTCTAACTTCACTCTGCACCTTCGACTGTTCAGAAAAAGCTCTGCACACAATGTTCAGCAATAAAAAGTGACAGTAGATTGTAGAACTGTTTGAGGAAGACTCACTAATGACAAGGTAGAATTCTAAAGTGGCTCCAGAGCATCAACAGACTCCTTTAGTTAGAGCAGTGAGGTGAAGGGATCCATTACTTGCACCAGGCCAAAAGCCAGCAAACAGGTGGCGTGTTTGGATGTGAGAGCTAATAACCTGATGGAACGGCAGAAGAAGATATGAGAGCAGCACAAGAACCAGTTGGTATTTCTGTTCAGGTGTGAAAAACTGGGGAGAAACTGTGAAAAATAAAAGAGGGACGTGGTGATAAAACAAATAAAAAAAACATGAGTGAGTCACAGTGAGCTGGCAATGGAGGAAGGAAGGGACAAAAGTAAATTGGGCAAAAAAGAAAAACAAGGGGGAGAACTGCAAAGACTCATGGTTCATATCTTTGCTTTTTCAAAAACAAGCAGAAAAATCTGCAGGGTGAGATTTTCACTCAAATTTATCCCAAAGTCTTTTCTCCTTGAAAGACGTGCAGTGATCCGTGTTACACGCCCCTAACTCAGATATTGACTTTAGTTCCAAGGACGTGTGCGGAGCAGTTGAATGATGTTTGGTACTGAAGCAGAATCATCTCAGGGCTTCAGCAGGATTTGTAGTGTTTTTTTATGAAAAATGTGCTAAAGTAACAGAAACATGTATTGTCTCGCTAAAGAAAATCTTACACTGTACTGGTTTTGGTGGCACTTGTGTTTATTTCTCGGGAATGTGCTCAACAACATTTTTCAACTGCCAATCAGTTTCCAGTGCAAACAGAAGCACGGGGTCCACACCTGACACTGGATTCAGGAGGCAGTGCTTCAGTGGCCACTGTGGTTCGTTAGAGGCACAGTGGGGGTAGTCACCCAGCAAGGGCACAGCCGCTTCATTATTTCACACTGTGAGGTCTCAAAAGTCTGAGCTTTCACCAGGCTACAGAAATATGACTTGTTAAGACTGACATTTCTTGCAGTGAAGTCCTGACGAGTAGCTGCCGACTTCCCAGCAGACTGACTGACTGTTGAGTCAGTAGCGCAGGGGTCAGTGTCTCCTTGTGACCAGGAGTGGAAGAAGTCATCTCTCCTTATATTCACTGCCAACTCACTTATTGTCCGTGACCAAGCAGAGCACAGAGTGACAGTAGAGGAGAAACAGGCTCCATTTCTCTTGGCTCCTTCACTCCCTCACTTCTCTCTTTCTTTACCCCTCCATCACTCTGAATCTCTCCTTTTCCCCTTCTCTAAAAACCCTTCATTCCTTCCTCCCCTGAGTGCTTTTAGCACCCTGTTGATCCCTTGGTAACCAGTGGAGAGAGGAAGCAACAAGGCTTTTTAACTCCCCAAGGCACTCAATCCTAGCTTGCTCTCTCTCACTTTCTCTCTCTGCCTCCCTGCCTCCCTCTTCTCCGTCCCACCTTCCATGTCATAGGGAGGGCTGGGAGTCCTGATCTGTGGCCAGAAACCTACCAGCCTGACAATGAATGGAAGCAAAAGTAAGGGTTAGAGGCTTGGCCATCTGACAGCTGTTGCATTAGATTATTGAGGATCATATAAGAGAGAGAGAATGGGGGAGGCATGGCTGCAAAGTGCAGAGTCTTGTTACCTTCAGATGGACAGAGGGGTTAGAGTAGTGAGAGAAGTAGAAGAGGAGGAGGGAGGGAGGTAGCAGCTGTCTGCTCAAGAGAGATGCTGTACGCACACACACACACACACAGTAACACATTGCTCAGCTCGAGGGTTGGGGCAAAGGGTGTGTGTTGAGGAGCTGTCAACTTCCATCAACCACTGTCCTTAAGGACACCTACTGTATTTGTGTGTGTGTGTCTGTAAGTGCATCTGTGTGTGTGTGTGTGTGTCATGCCATTAGCCATGGGCGAGTACAACATGTAGCTGCTTGGGGATACGAGGGAGGGAAAGGAGTAGGGGAGGGGGGTTCCCTCCTGAGCGTATCTGTGGCATCAAGGGCTTAACAAGGACAGGTTCAAAGGTCACAGCAAATGGTGTGTTACTGGCCGCCACCCCTCCTCTAGAGCCGAGGTCCACATCTGTGAGACGGCTTCATGTGTGGAACGGGCCTCCCTGTTAGACCGTGTCACATACTCAGCCACAATGAGCCGTCTGTGGTGAGCTGAACAATGGAGTCAAAATAACAGAGTATAGAAACGCCTCCAAATGAGTAATGTGCCGTGTTCGCTGCATTCAGGAGTAAAGGAAACAAGGATTTTAACACTATCTGTCAAAAAGGTTACGATTTTAACACTATTTGTCAAAAAGGTTACTGAAATATTAACAAAGACTCTCTCCTGAAGTGGCCAGCTAACAGTATAAAGTCTTTATTGTGGGATGTGACATACGCCCCTTCTGAATTTATATGAAACACACCAAAGGTAAAAAACAACAGCAACATGTAAAAATATTCTGCTTCAGTGAACAGAGGTGTAAGTGAGAGAGAAAAGCAGGAGTGGAGGATTTTTCTCCTCTGTCACAAAAGGTTAAGGAGCCATAATTGTACCCTCATTACCTCGAGTTAATGCAGTTCGACTAAACACTGTACAACAAGACCGAACAGGACTTCACAGCACTGCTGCATTACACAACGGCATTGACATACAGACAAGCTGCAGGTAATAACTTGTAATAGTCCCATTAAAGTTCCGTTGACCTCACAAAGCAATTATCAATACTTAACCGGGGCCA